ATCTGCCATTAATACTGCCCAGTCCTTTGTTCCTGGAGGGTTGCTCAGGAGAGAACAAGGAGAGAGAATCCTGTTTAGCACCAGCACCTGTGCTAAGACCAGTGCCTAAATAGGGGACAGAGGAGCCCCTGGGAGAGGTGAGCACTGAGGGCATCTCCACCCTCACCCTGGGGTCCCAGAGAGTCAAGGGCCGCATGGGTAGATGCTCCCACCTTCTGTGGCAGATGACACTGATGGCTGGGAAGAACCACAGCATCTCCATGTCTAGAATCTGAGTCTTCTCTTGCCAAATGTCCAGGGCTTTGAAAGACCACCAGAAATAAATGGTAAATGTCTAAGGTGAGTAAAGTGATAACTAGAAAGTTTTATGACTCTTAGCAGCTTCCAGGGGCTCTCAGTCCCAGGCCAGCACACAGCAGTTGGGTGGAGTCACCCAGGGATCCTGGGGAATAGCAGGGAAGGTCGCAGAGGTGCTGCAGCTCCAGGTGCCACCAGACACTGACTTCCCCCCTCAGCCTCTCCAGCTGCTGAGCAAAGGAGGCACCTACTCCTGGCCACTTGAGGAACCCTGCTCAGCCCCCATCTTCCCTGTAGGAGTCCTGGAGCTCCAGAGTCACCTGTGACTAGTGTGTTCTCTGCACAGGTGAAAGCAGCTTATTTTTTCTTTCTTAATCAAAAACAGGTTTATTGGATTATTTTTGTATCAAGAATAGACTCACATGAAGGTGGGCCAGGAGGATGGTGATCCTGGGACTCTGCAGGGAAAGATGTGTCAGGAGCTTGGTCCCTGGCTGAGCTCTGGAGTCTACTGTGGCCAGGGACATTCATCACATCACAGCTGTGACTCATCTCAGCCACTAACACAGGGACAGAGGACATGGAAACAGGAGGGGAAAGGGAAGGTGTCCAAGGTCACCTACATAGGAACCCTATGCAGAGGTCATGTTGAAGAAAAAAACAGATTTTTTTTTGCAGCCCCTAGAAACAGATCAGAAAGTAACTTGTGAAGGGTGAAGAAGAGGATGATAAGTAAGGAATATCATGCATATTTATGCTTTTTTAGCATTTTTAATGTTGGCTCTTCTAGCCAGGGACTGTGGTCAATTAACTATTGATTTTTATTTGAATTATTTTGAAAAGGTTATCAATTACTGTAGGCCTGGTTGATTTTTCACACTGCAGAAGTTAAAATAAAGTATATATATTATAAATGTATATAAATCATATATGTATATCAAAGATTTTTTGAAGTGATACAAAGATAGCTTGTGTGTAAATTATCGATAAAGTTTTAATGTACCCCAAATAGAGGAGGGAGAGAACTCAGGAGGATGGTGCTTCATGCAATGGTCAATCTTTGGAAGGCAGTTGGGACTGAGGAGAAGCCTCAGGACCAAGTGACTAATTACAGCTCGCTTTCCTTGAGTTTTGACTTGAAGGGAGTGGGAAGCTCTCTGTATGGACTTAGAGTATGTGAACTAGAACTTGAAAGTATCATGCTTCCAATCCAGTGCACAGAGCTCACACACATGCACACCTGGTGTCCTATAGAAGCTCCCTCTCACTCAGCATATTTTCACATTTGAATTCCACACTCTTGGCACAATTCCAGGATATAAGTGTGATGTTCTGTATGAAACTGTTTTGTGAAGATAACTGGTGAGTGTTTCTATCAGAAGCCACAGTGTAGAAATATCATTTTACTATTTTTTTTGCAATGTTTGGGGCAAAATCTGTGCAATGCTGATAAACAAATGACTAAAAAGTGATATAATTTTATAAACTAATTTGTGAAAATTGTTAACAAATGTCACCAACTGAGATCCAAATTTGTATTTTCAATGTTGGGGTTTTATGCCAAATATCATTTTGAAAAAGTGAAAGAGTATGTAGAAAACACTTTATTCTAAGATGCAGATGACACCTCTGGGAATCAGCAGATTCAGAACAAAGTTATAATTCATGTGCAGAGACCGAGTGTCCAGTACCAAATTTCTCTCTTACCCTACACCTCATCATGAGCTCACTCTGAGAACCATGAGGATTGTCCTCATCAGTTAATGTCAAAGGGTAGTTGGGGGTGGTGAATAGGCTTTGGGTTAAATGCATTAGCATCATAAGATGGCACAGGTAAGGTAGCCAGAATGATGGCTGGATAAGAAATATTTTATCAAGCCCATATTTAAGAAGAGTGTATGGTCACAAGCTCTGTGTGGAGAGATGTGTGTTCTTGTCAAAGATGTGTGCATGAATTCCTGGAAAGCAGATTGGATCAGGGCATGGAGAGAGAAGACAAAAATCAGAGTCCAAGTGATCCTAAGAAGATATACACTTGTCAAAAGCAGATGAGAGCTTTCCTCAAAAGAAGATAGAGTGAAATTGGGAACAATCAGAAGAAACAAAAATAGAGAGGAAATTTTAATTCCTGTACCTGCAAACCCAGGGCTCAGCAGAGGCTGCAGAAAGAGGAAAGGGAAAAAGCACAGTGAGGACTTCTTAGTTTTCTGCTCCATGTCATACTTCCCTCAGATCATGTGCCATGTGTGGTATTTGGTTCCAGATCATGAGTCACTGTTTTAAGAAAAAAATTCTGCTAGAACCCAAACAGTTATATTGATGTCATTACATGTGCACTTCTGTAGACTGTGCTTTGGTTTCAATTCTTCAGGTGACCCCCTACACTTACTGTGTAAATGCAGGAATATTCAGAGGTGAAATTACAAGACTAGGAGAGCTGAGGTTATTCAGTGCTTCCTGGCCTGAGTGGACTAACTAAGTGGTGACTGAGGGCAGGGGAGAGTGGCTGGAGCATGTGGTCCCTAGGGGAGAGCCCTGGAAGTTTCATCATTTCTGAGTCCCCTTCCTCTCACTCCCTGCACTTCCTGGCCACAAAGGGTGAAGCAGCTCTTCTCCCCCACACCCTTCTGCCCTGATGTTCTGCGCACCTGGTCCAGAGCAATGGGGTCAGCTGATCATGGACTCAATTTCTGAACCAATGTACTTAAATAAACTTTTTCTCCTCTAAGTTATATGACTGTTGGAATTATGTCCCACTGATATGAAACTGACCACAAGTGATTAAGAGGATTTGCCTTGAATTCAGACATTTGTGGGGACTAAGTGCTTCCAAGAAGAATGTGTTTCCTGGACCTAGCAGGATAAGAAACTTTTCTTTTGGGTGAGTTGTGGCCCTGTGTAGACCAGAAATCAAAGCACTGGCACTAAATAGCAGCTTACTAGAAATTAAGAATTTTTGGCCTATGTGAGGACCCAATACCAGTAATATCCAGGTAAAAAAGAAAACATTCTTCATTATATGAAAACCTGTGTAAACTCATGTGAATGAGAAAGCTCAGTCAGTTCACATTAACACTGAGTTGAAATGTATCTAAGTATTACCTGAACAGGATTTTAAAGCAAAAACCATAATATTGCATCAATGAGCACCTGCAAATGTGTTTGAAAGAAATGAAAAACAATCAGAAAGCATCAAAAAGAGAATTAAACTGTAAAAAGGCAAAAAAAAATTAAAGTTACAAAACTAAGAAATGCATCCACCACAATGAAAGCAGAGGAGAGCTGAGCAGGTGAATAGAGAAGACAGAGGAAGGAGGCAGCAGGAGGGAGAGCAAAAATCACACCAGTAAGAGATCCCTGAAAGAAGCTGAGGAGGCAAATGCACAGGGAATCAGAATGAACCAGGAGGTGCCTCTCAGCTCCCCTTGAGCAACACTGCCAGCTTCTGAAGACAAAGACAGAATCCTTAGCTTTATTTGAGAAGCAACTAGAATCACTAGAGAATTTCTCCCCAGAAAACAGGGAGGACATAGGAAAGGACAAACTTTCAAGTGCTGAAGGACAATTCTGTTGAGTTAGAATTCTAGATCCAGGGAGATGTACTTCAAAAATCAAGGTAAAATCAAGAGCCCTTCAGGTGTAGAAAAACAAAGAGAATAATACATAGCTAACCCCAAAGTGGGGGAAAAGTGCTCTATAAATAAATAATGTGTTATAAGAACATGGACCTTGGAACAAAGGGATGGAGAAGGACCAGAAAGGAGGGACAGATGAAAAGCATTTGACAGCTGGATTTGACCACTGCACATGTGGACATCTGTGCAAACATCACTGTGACATCCCAGGTCACCAGGGAAATGCAAATTAAAACACATGAGGAAACACCTCTGTGAGGGATGGCCAAGTCTAGGAGGAGAAAAACACCCTACAGGCAGCAGGAGGGGAGCCCAGGCCCCATCTCTGCTGCTGAGCTGGTCCGGGCTGCAGTCACAAGCCACTCTCAGCAGCTGAGTGTTCTGTGGAGTGTCCACAAGCTGTCTCCAAGATAAATACTTGACATGCAAGACAGTATGACAGATTGTGATAGCACTAGACATTCTGTAACCAAACACACAGCAATCATGCTTCCTGTGTTTAACACACATGTTAAATATGTGCTATGTGTTAACACAAATCTAAGAAACAAAACTCAAAAACCTGCATAGGAAAATTTACAGGAATTGTGTTCAGCATTGAAAATTTGGAGGACACAAGCCTTCCCTTCACTAGGGGAATAAATTGATACTATCGAAGAGCCAGAAAGTAGAGTAGTAATCAACATTGAAAAGAAGACAGCTTTCAAGAAGTCTGCAGTGATTCTTGCCTGTAACCCCAGCACCTGGTAGGCTCAGGCAGGAGGAGCACAAGTTTAAGGCCAGGTTCAGCAACTTAGCCAGGACCTCAAAACTTAGAGAAATCTTGTCTCAAAAAAAAATAAAAAACAAACAAAAAAACCTCACCAAACCAAACCAAACCAACAAACCACTACAACAACAACAACAAGAACTACAAAAAGAGGACTGTGAATGTAGTTAAGTGGTAGCACATGCTTGTATGAATTACCAACTTTGAAGAAAAAAATTAAAAAGAGAGAAAAAAAAGAGAACAGCTATCATGTAATGAAAATCCATGAAGAAATGAAACTTACGTGCACAGCACTCAGTGTGAAAGGCCAGTCTGAATATCTCATCTGCTGTAATTTCAGGCCCTCTCACTCAGCCCAGGTAAAACTACAGGATGGGAAATCATGAAGGTCTGCAGCAGAGACAAGTGGTGAGGAGCAGCTGGAGCTCAGATAGTGTGTGGGCAGGTCCATCACTGTGCCAGGCCACACTATTGGACACATGTCACTGACAACTTGTCTAGTTCCACAGAAAGCACAAAGTGACCCAGGTGTGACCTGTAGACATGGGCAGAGGTTGATGAATTGTAACAAAAACAACAAAGTCTGGGGTTGGTGATAGAAGGGCTATAGAAGCAGGGGGTACACAGGAGATTTTTGTACTTTACCCCAACTTTGCTGGGGACTTCAAACATATAAAAAAATAAAGTCTATAATATTCCATTTGGGATACGTGGAGAGGCCTATTTTTGCTTTATAAACCCTGATACTGCTTAATTCAGTCTCTTCAGGTCTTTAACTACTTTCTTTATCATACAGTGAGCTCATTGCCTGCTGGGGTTGAGATGAAGGGTCAGGGGGCAGAGGAGTAGCCCTGGATGCTCTGACTGACCCACCTTGTAGTGCTCAGGGCCTGGATGCCTCTGAGCTGTGCCCTCAGCAGGTGGAGGCAGCAGGAGGAGCAGCTGGGGCAGGCCAGCCTTACACTTCTTCTCCCTGGGAGGTTTTTGTCATGGCCTGTGTCACTGTGTGATAATAACTGTTACTTTGTTGACAGTAAATCCACTGCCACTGAACCTCAAGAGGACCACAGATTGTAAACTTGTTTCAAGATCGATGATGAGGGGATTAGGAGCTTGCCTTGGTTTCTGCTGAAACCAGTATAAATAATCACTAATATCCTCACTGGCCCTGCAGGTAATGGTGACTCTGTCTCCTGGAGATGCAGACAAGGAGGATGGAAACTGGATCATCGTGATGTCACATCTGACACCTTCCATTGGAAACATAAAAATATATATATATATATATATATATATCCTTGTAAGTAGTGATGTTACAAGAGGACTTTCCTGAGTAGCCAGGCAGCACTAACCACACTTTGATTAGTAAATCCCCAGTGCTGTTTCTCCTTACCTGGGAGGCAGGGCAGCAGGAGTCCCAGGAGCTGAGCAGGGGCCCTCATGGCCATGCTGTGTGCTAACAGGGACTGACTCCTGCACAGGGTATGAGCACCTCTTAAGAAGTCCTCAGGGCAGTGGGCTGTGCTATGGGAACATGCAAATCAGTAAGGCTGGGCAGGCTGGGCACAGCTGCAGGAGGCTCCTTCTGGTATGTCACAGCTGACATGATGCAAGGACTCTGCCCACAGTGGACCATGACGACCACAAGTACAGCCCTGAACACCTGCTGCTCTCCTTTTTGGTCTCTAAAGGCCACCAGGCATCATCTTTGACTCTCCCATGAGAATCCAAGGGGTTGAGTCAGAGGCAGGCCAAGGGCCAGGAAATGCAGGGTTATGACCGACATGAGGACAGCCATGTGGGAAGTGAGGACTGACAGGTGTAAACTCAGAATAGGAGGGGACAGGACAAAGAAGACCTAGGCAGGAGTGCAGAGGAGAGACACCGGAGAAGTCCAGGATCCAGAGACAAGAGATGGGAGGGGAGAGAGGTTGTGACTTTAGAGCTGTCCCCTACCTTCTCCTCTGAGGGTCCTCAGACTGTCAGCATCCCTGTGCAGAAGCAGAATCTGAATGGAGGTTTTTCCCCTAGTGGGCACAGGAAGAAGTTCATGTTCCTTGAAGGATGTGGCTGCTGGGGGCCAGAATGACCTTGTGTCCCTGCCCCATAGCCCTCCCAGGCAGGCAGGGTGTGCAGAGGGCAGCAGGAGGCAACAGGAGCTCAGCAGCCAGGCCTGGTCCTCATGATGCCAGGCTAGACGATGCTAATGCTCTTGCTGGGTCAGAAGGGGACAGTGACTTCTCACTCCCCAGCACTGTAGTAGGGAGAAAGGAGAATCTGTGGTGTGGTCACTGTGAGAGCACTGGCAGCATGGGTAAGGCCTGGGTTCTCTGCCCAGCACCACATAGAAACAGCCACGAAAATTAAATTAAAAACATTGGAAATCAGAAATTTAGTCCTCTCAGTACACTTGTGTTTTGCAAGATTGTTTAGTCTCTCTTTGTCCCATGCATTATTATGTTAACTGTAAGATGCAAATGACAATTATGCAAACAAAAGGAAAGAAAGAAAGAAAAAAGAAGACCCAAATTTGCTTTTGATAATTATTGCATTGAGTTTGCTTATGAAATTGAGATGGACTCCTATCTTATTTAATTTTATTTTTTCTTATTTATATATTGTTTTGGTTCCATGGATTGTGATCTCAAGTGTAGTAAACCACTGAGCCCAATCCCCATCCCTCTTTTATATTTTATTTAGAGAAAGTGTTTCCCTGATTTGCTTAGTGCCTTCCTGTTGTTGAAGGTGGCTTTGATCTTGTGATTCTCCTGCCTCAGACTTGCAAGCCAATTTATGGGATGGATTGATATGTGCATTTAAGGCTTTTCAACCCGAAAACAAGCAGATGAATATAAATTTACTTTTTGAGAGTCTGCTTTAATATCATTCTATAACATTCAGTACAGTAGCCTGTGCAAAATAAATTTCTTATCTCTATTGGGCAAAGAAGGATGTTAAGGCTCTAAAGTCCATGTGTGCCCAGAAGGAACCCAGAGTGAGCTCTGCAGTCACTGTTCCTGGTCATCGCTCTGCTTTTATCATATTCCAACCATAATTTCTTTGACTCCTCAGAAGGAAAGTAAAATGTGTTTCTTTCACTTCCCAGGTAACAGAATATAATAAACAGCTGATTTTAGTGTGAAGTCAGAAAAGCAATGCTAAATACCAAGACTCTGTTGTGAAATGGTGAAACACCTAGCAGGTTTATTAAATATTCAAATTCAAGCACAAGAGTCTGTGCAAAAATATCCCAGTTTCCTTCACCAAACCTGAGAAGAGCACTAGAGGGACAAGTGTACATCACCTGTGCTGAGGGGAAAGTGCACAATGGCAGGAGTTGGACAGGGACACTTTTTCTGGAGAGAGTGGCAGAGATTCATGAGAAAGCCATCTAAGGGGAGGGGTCTTGCTAGCAAACCTGAGCTCTAAAGATGGGCTGTTCTGGGATTTCAAAGGTTTCCATGAAAGCAACTGACACCAACTAGGCCTTATACTGATGCACATGGAATCCAAACTGGGACACCCAGGTTTGCAAAAGAAGCAAGATTTCCTGTGAGGCCAGCTGGCATGGAGGACAGGAGGCCTCAGCTCAACTCTGCCTTTCCAGCACTGGGAGCTGAGGGATTCCAGGAAGGGAAGGAGGCTGCCTGTGTACTGGAAGGTGAGAAGAGGAGTCTGAGGTCCTTCATGAAGGTGGAAAAGGTCATGGTGCCTCTTTGCAAGAACATGCTCCTTTGGAGGTAGTTATTGAGTTCTGCATGTGAGACACTGAGCTTGTGATTATGAAAGTTCATTGGCCAAAGGAGGAAAAAAGAAAAGAAAAAGAAGGATAATTGGCTAGGACAGCTGGAGTTTTCTTGGCATTTCATTGTTGAAATAACCTGTTGCAAATTGTCCATGAATGGGTTCTGGAGGTTTTTCCTAAATATCTCCCTAAGTGATTGACATTTTAAGAAATTTATGTCCAAGTGTGTTGAGCTACAGTTGCATTCACACTCTTCATTTTTCAGTGTCAAACACCTGGATGCAGGATTGTGACAGAAAAAAAGACAAATCACTGACAAATATTTTAGATGTTAGGTCCTTAGGACTGATGGAAGAATGTGCTCATCAGAAAGCCTGACCTTTCACCAATTCCCACCTCCTTGGAGCCCTGAGCTCTCTATAGGTGGAGAAGCAAGAATAACTGAGAGGCTTTTCTTTTTTTGCTGGACACAAAGGGAAAAGAAAGCATTAAAGATTTCCCCAATTTACTCTGGCTTTGTTATGAAATAAATGTGAGCAGAACCTGGAGCTATTTCTGGAGCGACAATAGACAGTGTCTATACTTTGACAGATTTAGCAAGAGGTTGTTGATGTCAAAATGAGAAGGAAATAAAATCTAAAAATTAATTACTCTTAGGGATTCACCTTTAACTCCATCTGTGTTTGAGATATTATGACTCTTCTAGAGACTCTGTTCTCACCTGGTGAAGTAGGGAAATAATACTAAGTGTCCCCATCTTCTTTAATCTCTCATATTTTTTTTCCAGGGGAGCAAAAGGGTGTAAGAGACTATGAGTCTTTCAGACTTGAATGAAGTTTTATATCCTCTCTCACACAAATTTGCAGGTGCAGGGAAAGAGAAAAGTGCAAAATATCTGACTGGGTGCCTCTGGGGGCAGCCTCTGTTCCCACAGGGGAGAGAGGGTTGCAGCAGGGCTGGTGAGGTTTTTGTAGGGGACTGAACCACTGTGGTAATCTGTGTGGCCTTGCACACAGTAATAAACTGCAGCATCCTCAGGCTCCAAGCTGCTGATGGAGAGAGTGTAGTCTGTCCCTGACGCACTGCCACTGAACCGGGCTGGGATGCCACTGGCCCTGCTAGAGGCACCATAGATGAGGCATCTGGGAGCTTGCCCAGGCTTCTGCTGGTACCAGGCTAAGTAGCTTCCAACACTCTGACTGGTCTTGCAGGTGAGGGTGACTCTTTCCCCTGGAGACAAAGCCACAGAGGCTGGAGTCTGGGTCAGCACAATTTCTCCTGTGGTAGCTGAGATGGAAAGAGAACAGAAAGATCACCTGTGCAGTCTAGGTCATATCCCACTCTCCACAGTAAAGCCAGGACCCAGAAGCATCCTGAGTTTTAATCACTGGGCTTACTAAACAAAGGTGCCAAGACAAAAGACTCAACCACAATGAAAGAGGTTTCACAGACATGCAGAACAATTCTATTGTCCCTCACCTGGGAGCCAGAGTAACAGGAGAGAAAAGAGCTGAATGGGGGCTGCCATGGCTCCTTTAGGGTCCAACCTAACACTGGGCTCCTCATAGCCTTAAGCAGTCACTCATATGGCTCTGGAAATCAATGTGGGCAGAGCATGCAAAGCAGCTGGGAGGGGCCAGCAGGGCTCCTAGGGGCAGAGAGTTTGCCTCCTTCTGTCTGCACTTGAACACCCAGCTGGTCCCAGCAGGAGAGTCCTGGGCTCAGCTTAAGGACAGATCTCCCTCCTGTGCAACGGAATTTCACCTCTCTTTCATCATGCCTCTCCTGGCTAATAAACTGTCCAGCTGACGTTAGAGCTGTCCTACAGGGAACTGCATGGAGGCCTGAGGTCTCACTTCTCTCTTCATCTTCCATGCCTGGTCCTCTCCATGGGGGTAGGGTTAACTGTCCTGGCTAGGAGGGCATGACCAGGCCACACCTTCTCCTTGCTCTTTACTGATCTTTTCTGCAGGCACAGGAGAAACTCACCCTGTGTGAGATGTAGTATGAGCAGCTCTCTTTAGCCCCAGAGTGTGGTACAAGAAACCACCACAGCCTAGCTGACAAGGGCCTGGCTCTGGCTCCTCAGGATCCAGGCACTAGATCCCTGAGAAGGACACTAGTGCTGCCCAGCAGGTAGGAAGGACTTTCTTCAAAGACCCTCTAAAACCCCTCTCTTCTCTGCCTTTTGTGATATGCATGTCTGACCAGATCTCAGCTTCTCCCCTGGGCAATGTGAAGAACCTCAGCTCCTGGTTCTGATCTACAGAGGATCAAGCTGGGTTTCCTTGGGCTCCTCATCATGGGTCACATGGGGCAATGAGGGCCTGGTCTACAACCTCCCCTGGTGAGGATGAGAAGCTCTTCAGGCTACATTCCCTGTTTTGAGCCTCATGTCCTATATTCTGTTTTTCCCACAGGAGTCCAATGTGTTTGCTTTGGAGCCATTTTTAGCCCACAAGTAATTAGCTATTAATGCTCTGTCAGCTCCCAATGGAATATTCATCCATTCAGAAGTTAGAGCTTCTTCCTCCAGAAGATCATGTCCCTAGCATCCTAGAAGTTACCAGCACAGGCACTGAAGCTGTTCCTTTGCTGAGCGGAGCTCCATCACCATGAAACTTGTGGCAGGAAAAGATACTTAAGCTGCCCTTGTTCACTGTTCATGTCCATGATACTGTGATATAATAGAATCTCCCAAGTCCTCCTGTCCAACAAGTTATAACAGTACAGAGAATCAGTACAGCATCAGCACCCAAAGTGCGCTGTGGTACTTTACCACTCTATCATGCTGTTAGCCTAAGCACAATCCTGATGAGCACTGTGAGGAACTCAGCAGAGACCCAGAAAGCATCCTGAAATCCAGGACAAATGCTTTCCTCACTTCCCATCAGGTCCAGGGCCCTGGTGTTTACTAACTGCTCACAGTGCTCACTATGCTCTCCTCCTGGTGCTCTCCCTGCTCAGCCCCTCTGTCCTGCCCAGTGGCCATGGCCACCCAGTTTCTTTAACCCTCTATTATCCACACACCTCATGGACAGGCTCACAGGCCTTCACAGTCACTGTGTGTCACTGAGGACTTGTTCTGCCTTTCTAGTTTTCCTACTGTGGCCTTCATACTTATAACTCACATTAAAGAAAAACCCCAACATCCCTCTGGGGATTTCCTTAAAACACTTCCTTCAGACTTTTCCTCAGAGATTATCATGCCAGATAGTCAGAAACTTTATTAGCTTGGCATTTTATATGCAGACTATATTTATATACTTCCAGAGTTACAAAATAATTTAAAGAATCAGAACTAGAAATTTTAATGACTCAACTAGGTAAAGGAATAAAGTCAAGGAGGAGAAGAAATTAACACCAGAAAACTCAGCACATGCATATCCACAATATCCACCAGTGCTCATGGATATGTGAGTGTTAGCAATGCATCAACATTGTGAATGTAAGTCTCCTAGGTTCATATACAGCATGACTGTGCATCAGTCCTAGGGCACACCAGCTTGTGCAGTACTGGAAAGTGTTGCACATATAAATTATACAGTTTTGATATGTACATTGACATGGTTGTGAGACCAGCTGTGTCCATGTATCCATGCTGTTCCCCAATTTGAAGGCTCACTGGCTGGAACACTGCTGCCATTGCCTGGAGCCTCAGGCTTTTCCAGAACAGAGGCCTGCAGGACTCTCCCAGTGACTCTCAGCATTTCTCTCTGGGATAAGGGGAGGCTCACTGAGGGAAGCCCTGGAAGCAGCAGAGGCTAGAGCACACTCCTGTTGCATGGAGGTCCCAAGGCCTCCTACCTCACCAGTCAGCTAATTTCTCTGACTTGCTACTTGGGCAAAATCATATGGAAAGAAGAAGCTGCCATTTAAGGTCACTCTCTACCCCACCTATACCCAGTGCTCTCCACCAGGGCAGGACAGCATCAGGCTGGAATCAGGAGTCCATCAGAACTTGATCTTCAGGTGCACATCTCATTTGCTCCTTGTTCCACTTTTCTGAGGTCCTTACCTCACCACATTCTCTGTATAAATAGAAAAGAACAAGTCTCCCTGAGGCCCAGCAGAGGCTATGCAAGGTCAACCACACCTGCTTGGAGGAGCAGGCTGCCTGAGCCCCAGGGAGCTGCTCCTCCTCCCTGAAATTGATGAGAGGGCTGAGCAGCACCATGGAACTCTGCCTAGGTTCCTCCTGTGGTCTACCCACTCCATCCTGCACAATGCAGCCATCAATCATCTCAGGGCCTTCTCTCCATGACAGTATTGAAACTCTGTCTCACCCCATCCATCTGCTGCTTTCTCTGAAATCCTAAACTCTTGGTCTTCTGACCTTTTCTTTCTTCACTAGGCAAGATTCTACAGGAAAAGATTCTACAGAAAATTCAAGAATCCCTCTGCTCAAGTAATTGTCCATTGCTTAAAGACTAACGATTAACAGTTCATCAGGAATTTAGAATACATAGTGGTCTCAGGGAGGTTGATACCTGGCCAATGTGACACACATGAGGTGCCAAAGTTGTAGTTTAGGCAAAGAAAAAAGGGAACTGAAGAACCCTATAGGGTGCAGAGGTACAAGAGGAGAGGGTATCCTGGGGCTCCTGGTCTAGAGCTGCCAACCAAGCCTTATTCAACCCACCCCAAATATTTCTAGAGCCTCTGTGAGACCCTCAGCAGCTCCCAAGGTCTCTCAGGCCCAGAGGCAGCACTCACCAGTTGGATAGGTCACCCATGACCCCATGAGAAGCAGCACAGATGGTCCCAGTGGTGCTGCAGCTCCAGTAACCAGCACCCCCTGTGCCTCTCCCCTCAGCCTCTAAAGATGCTGAAGAAGAAAGGCACCTACCCCTGGGCCCTGAGTTCCTGATCAGACCTCATTTCTCTAGGAGTCCTGGGGCTCCAGGTTCACCTGTGACTAGTATGTTCCCTGCCCAGGTAAGAGCTGCTTAGATTTTTCTTTCTTAATCAAAAACAGGTTTATTGGATTATTATCTATCAAGAACAGACTCACTTGGAGGTGTGCCAGGAGGATGGTGACCCTGGAGCTCTGCAGGGGAGGATGTGTCAAGAGCTTGGTCCCTGGCTGTGGTCTGGAGTCTGTGGTGGCAGGAAAGGTTCAGCACATTACAGCTGTTACTCATTCCAGCCACTAACACAGGGATCAAGGGGAAGTGAGAAGCATATCCAGGTATGCCCTTAGCATAAAGTCTAAATATTGGCTCTTCTAGTCTGTGGACTATTTCCATTTAACTAGTGATTTTCATATGAATTATTTTGATGAAGATATCGGTTATTGAAGTCCTGATGGATTTATGCCCATGTGCAGAGGCAAGAATTATTTTTTAAATGAAAAATAAGTGGTTCATCTGAGATCTTGGGATTCCTGCTTTCCCAAGTGCCCCTCATCTTCTGGCTGTTTATGTCCCCACTGTTCAGGGGGCTCCCTCCTCTCAAATGCATCTCCAGAAGCCCCTTTGCCTTCTTTGGTCCACATAAAGAAACAGCCACATTCTCTAGAGCATGGAAATGATTCTGCTCACTTTCTCTCCTGCAGTCACTTCTTTCTTCATGGCTTGGTCCCTATGGCCATGAGGATATCAGTGTCTGGGTCACACCCTGGTTCAAGTGCCCCTGTGTTATGGGAGGGCTGTAACTTGTTTCAGCAAACTCTGCCATGAAGCTGGAAACCCTCAAAGAAAAGAGGATATCTTCAATTTCATATTAACAAATACAGTGAATTCCACTTAATTTCAGGTACCACTAATTTCACAGTTTAAAAAGGTCCATTAGCCAATGAAATGGAAAGTTTCAAGAACAAAAGGGATTTTTAAAAATGATATAGAGACAGTTTGCATGGAAAATATTAATTAAGACTTATTGTACCCCAAATAGAGAAGGGAGAGAGCCCGGGAGGGTGGTGTTTGATGGGAGGTCCCATCCTGGAAAGGAAATTGGGGCCTGTGGACTGAATTATGCAGCCATATGAAATCATGGCAGTTAACTTATTACAAGTGTATTTCCTGAACTGTGTTCCTAGAAGCAGTAGGGTAGGACTGAGCATGTTATTAGTGTAAGTGGAATAGAAGTTGAAAACAGCATCTTCATCTGGTCTGAGTGTCCTACAGAAAGTCCCCTCTCACTCAGCCAATTTTAACATTTGCTCTCAGCAACCATGGCACACAATTTCATGGTATTACCCCACCAGATAGACGGGCTGATTAGATGAGCTGGGTTCAAAAGAACTGGCTTCTACATTAAACTCAGAAA